TGCCTAACATTAAGAGATTGTCTTCACAGGTTGTGACGATAGCAAAATTCCACGGAGGTGGTGCATTCAATGTTATCCCAGATTCTGTCACTATTGGTGGCACCTTCCGTGCCTTTTCCAAGGAAAGTTTTATGCAACTAAGACAACGGATTGAGCAGGTGAGTCAGTTAGAGTATGAGTTTTTTTTCTTATAATTTTAAATGCTTAAAGTTATTTTTTCTTCTTGTTGTTGTTATTGTTGTTTGCATTACTACCCGAGTCATATGTTTAATAAGGCTGATACGTTCCTTCAGGTAATCACTGGACAAGCTGCTGTACAGAGGTGCAATGCAACAGTTAACTTCTTCGAAGGAGAGCGGACCTTCTGCCCTGCTGTCGTTAACGATGGCAAATTGCACGAGCATTTTCGAGAGGCTGCTGGGGATATGCTTGGCAAAGAAAGGGTTAATGACATGAAGCCAATAATGGGAGCTGAGGACTTCTCATACTATCAAGAGGTGATCCCTGGTTACTTCTATTTTGTTGGAATGGAGAATGCTTCTCTTGGACCAGTTGAATCGTTGCACTCACCTTATTTCAGAGTCAATGAAGATGTTCTTCCTTATGGGCTGCACTTCATGCATCATTGGCCGCTAGTTATCTTGTTAAAATTCATCATGACGTTAAAGTTGCAGAAGGGATGGGTCATGATGAACTATGAATCTAAATATTCATTGGAAACCCATGCCCTGACATTTCTTGGTGCACTGAACTGATATTAAGAAGTAGTAGGCATTGGTTTTACACATATTTTAGTTGCAAATGGGAGAAAGGAATGACAAGGACATATGAAGGAAGTGGTGGTTGTTATATTTGTGAAAAGTTAATTCAAAGAGGGAGACTTTTCATTCCGTAAGCGAATGTCATTCTCTCAATGCTTCCATTGAAGTTTAATATCCAACTTTCAACATCAATTCATAAACAGACGTTGTCGAGAGTAAACACGGTGACATTTAGGTAATTATAATTCTTGTTGAATGACTTTCAACATCAGTTCCAAAAGCAACCGATGTTGTTTATCATTTTCAACATCAGTTGTACATAAAACTGATGTTGAAACTATTTATAAACTTTTTAAAATTTTAAAATTATAACTTTTAACATTGTTCCGTGTCACCCAAAGTTGAAAACAATTTTAAAAATATAATATATATATATATACATATACACACACACATATATGATATTCAACATCGGATGGATCCTCCCCGATATTAAAAACCTTTTCAAAGGTCCTTTGTGGCGTCTGTCTTCATACACAGCATTTCATCCTTCTCTTTGCGTTTCTGTCTCTTCACCTCTCTTGTCGTCGATCACAGCTCCTGTCTCCCTTGGCATGTCATTCTCCTCCTTCATCATGCCTTCTACCCTCCCTCTGCCGCATCCTCCTCCACCCCGCCTTCCCCCCCCCCCCCCCCTTCCTCAGCTCCCGACCTCCTCCCTCCTCCTCCTCTTTCAGCTGCATTGAAGTCTTCAGATAGGTATGCTCTTTCCTTTTTTTTTTTTTTTAATTTTTTTTAATTTATATATATTAATTTCAGTTTTTGTTAAATATTTTAGTTTATCTTCAGTTTTTAATTTCAGTTATTGTTAAATATTTTGTTAAATTTCAGCTTAATTTTTAATTTTAGATTAATTTATTTTTAGTTTTGGTTAATTATTTTAGTTAATTTCTTTTAATTAGTTGTTATATAATTGCTTGTTGGGTAGTGCTGTTAGTAATTGCCTAACACCCTAAATTACTGCAGATGTGATCAAATTGTCGTTGTGTAATCAAATTGTTAAATTTTTTCATTTCATTCTTTTCCTTAATTTTTTTAAATTTAATTGTTATTAATATTAATTGTTATTGAAAGTGCTGGCTTCATGAGACTTTAGGTTATTATATGTGATTATTTATTTGGTGTAAAATCATGAATTTTATCTTGTAAATTTTTTTAAAAGTTTCATGAGATCCAATTTTTAGAGGACATTTTGTCAAAATTTTGTCGATATCATTATCTCCATAATTACTTCAAATTTAATTATTATTGATATTTATTATTGCTAAGAGTGTTGTTAGTGGCTTTATAAGGACTTAGATTGTTATATGTGATATTTATTTGGTATAAAATCATCAATTTTCTCTTGTAAATTTTTTTAAAAGTTTTGGGATATTCGATTCTTAGAGGAGACTCTATTGAATTTTTTAAAAAAACAAAAAGACTTTTAACATCGATCCAATTTATATGTATGGGAACTGTTGGCGATAAGTTATATATAACATTTTCATTTGCAGAAATTGAAAGAATAAGTAGAAATAGGTAATTAAAAAAAAGAACTAAAAGACTTTTAACATTCATTATAAACATAACTGCTATTGAAAGCTGACTTTTAACATCGATTATGATTATAACCTATATTGAAAGTCACACTTTCAATAGCGATTGCTACGATAACCACTTTTGAAAGTTTTACTTTTAATCATTGTTAAAAGTTTTTTATAACAGTGATTGCACAATCGTTGTAGAAAGTAATAAACTTCTAATATCTCTTATAATAACATTGGTTTTGTAATCACTGTTAATAGTATTTTTTATCCACGGTTAAAAACTTATTTTGTAATTATGTGATTGTATTAACTTAATTTTTCTTTACCCTTTGCTTATACTCTTGTTGGCAAGTATTAGTTTTTCCTATTTATAGATGTTTTTCAAAATCTAGATCATAATTAATATGTTTTTTATCTTAAAAAATACTTATGAAAAATGGTGTTTATAGTTAATTGATAAAAAAGTCTTAAAGGACTAGAAAATGATTACTCTCTCTAAATTTTATTGTAAAACGCTTTTAATCATTTCATGTATTTTAAAAAAATTAGTTTTTTTTATATCATTAAAAAAATACTTAGTTTTAAATTATGATACAATCATATTAAATATATTCATGTTAATCAATAAAGGATAAAATTAAAAAAAAGGTATTAAATGGTTATAAGATGCCTTACATTTTTAGATCAAAAATATTTTTAAAAAGTGTCCTACAAATAGGGTAAGAGGAGTCTTGAATTTCATAGTATCTAATTGTCATATTTATATTTTGGGGTATTTTTCTAACGTTCTCCCTTTTATTACTCTCAATTACCAATGAAATTTATGATGATTGAGAAATAAATTTACACAAGGATTTAACAAATACAATGGATAAAATGGGAGAAAATTTTTTTACATGTACTAGGTGGTTTATGTTTTGAATCAAAATTAGGTAAAAAAAAAAAATACTTATATTTTAGACAGGAAGAAGAATATTGAATTCTTTAAGTAAGGAAAAAAAAAAATAGGAACAACTTCATTTAAGGATTAAAGATGTGACTTATTTAAAAATCAGACACAATAAAATTTGAAATTACACTATAAGATCAAAGAACTAAATTAAAATATTTTTTTAAAAAGAAATAACTAAATATCCTTCAACTAGACTTAATCGTGTAATTTTATTTGTTAATTTGATACATAACTTACTAATTATTTAATTTTACTTGTTAAGTCTATGATTCTTTCAATTGAATTGTATCACTTGTTAATTAATTGCATAATTTTACTTGTTAATTTCTCAACAAGACTTGTAAATTATTTAACTTTCTGAGTTAAATTCAGGACTTTCTCAATTAAACTATATTATTTGTTAATCACGTAATTTTACTTATTAATTTTGCAATAACACTTGTTAATTTTATATTTTAATTAGTTAATGCTGCATAAAAAAATGAAGAATATTTTAGTTATTTTTTATAAAAATAATTTCAATTAAGTCTTTTGATTCTATAATGTAGTTTCAAATTTTATTATTAATAATTTATGAATAAGTCACATTTCTGGTCCTTTTTCCTGGAAAAATATTAGGGTTGCCTCTTTCAAGGGCAAGCAAAAGCTTGAGACTCTTTCAATCTTTTGATTTGAAGATGACATATTTGTTTCGTCTTTGTCTCTTAGCGTACTCAGTGCCGTCCTGTGTACCTTCGTTGACAACGACGTGTTCTACTCTTCCTATGCAATGCATCTGATAATATTATCTGAATCAAATTTTATCAAATACTCTTTCATTAAAAAATATAAAATATTTTTAATTAAATTTTATCTTTTAATAAAATAATAATTTAATTTTAAATTAATTATATTTTTATTTTATTTTATAATAAATATAAAATTATTTATTAATAAGAATATTTTTTTAAAAAATAATTATTATACTTTAAAGATTAAAAATATTTTATTCTCTCTATTTAAAAATATAAGGTATTTTTTTAAAGAGTTGAATGTTTAAAAATATAAGATATTTTTAATTTTTTGAGGTGTAATCATTGTCTTTTTTTTTAAAGTATCCCTATTGATAATGACTTTATATTTATTATAAAGTGTTTAATAAAAAAAAATGAAAAGATATGTTAATTGAAAAGTAAGTAATTATTTTATTGAGATATAAAATTTATTAAAAATATTTTATATTTTGTAATAGAGAGATATTTTTTTAAATATTTAATTATTTAAAAAATATTTTTCGGGAGTATGATTTAGATTTATGAATAAATCACATTTCCAATCCTTTTTCAAAAAAAAAAAAAATAATAATAATATTAGGGTTGCCTCTTTCAATCTTGTTTTTGCGATATAAGGGCGAGCAAAAGCTCGAGCCTCTTTCAATCTTCTGATTTGAAGATAATATATTTGTTTCCTCTTCTTTATCTTTTAGTTTACTCGGTGCTGTCCTGTGTGCCTTCGTTGACAACAACGTCCCCTACTCTCCTATGCGATTCATCTGATGATGGCTCACAGTTGACAGTTTCAGATTTATAATATCATACATTCATCTTTACTATCTTTATCACACTTTTCTGGTTGGTCCGTTTTTTTTTTTTTGGGGATCAAAATCTTTGCTTGTTCTTTTCTGAACTTCTTCCCCCTTCACTCGTAAAGCGACCAACCATGGGTTTCTTCTGGTGGGTCAGTATGATCATCATCTACCTTTTCCTTGCGGCAGCACTCATCTCCTCGGACCCCTCTTTGAGCTCAAAGAAACTCTCTTCTCTCGACGTCCACCGAATTTTTGAATTTTGCCAAGAAGCGTGAGGTTTTTGATTGGATGGTCGGAATCAGAAGGAAGATTCACGAGAATCCTGAATTGCTTTATGAGGAATTTCAGACCAGTGAGCTGATCAGAAAAGAACTGATACATTGGGCATTATCATATAAATACCCCGTCGCAGTCACCGGTGTTATTGGCTATATAGGCACCGGACAACCTCCCTTCGTCGCTATAAGAGCTGATATGGATGCTCTTCCTATGCAGGTATTTGAATCTTAACAAATTCTCTCTCTCTCTCTCTCTCTCTCTCTGTCATGATCATTCGCTTTTGTCCAACCACTTAAACTGACTTAATGAGAGGCCAAATTTGTTAGAGCTCTCTCTATATTGGTATTTGTGGTGTGATTGATTATTTTTTTGCTACTCCTGACTACTTTAGAAATGGTGGAGTGGGAGCACAAGAGTAAAATTCCTGGAAAGATGCATGCTTGTGGCCATGATGCTCATGTGACTATGCTTCTCGGTGCTGCAAAGATCCTCAAAGACACGAAAAAGAGATACTGGTATGTTTTGCTCTACTATTTTAAAAACATTGAATATTTCTGTTTTCCGATATTCGAATGTGACATCACTACACTTCATCGTGTCAGATATTTATAGTTAATGTACTGTTGAAGTCTACTTGAAATATATAATATATAATTCACAATAAAGGAAAAAATAAAAGATGAAAAAGTTTGACACCATTTTCATTGCTAGGGCAATTTGTTATCATTTTTTCCCGGTTAAGGCCATGTTACTTTAAATTGCAGTTCCTAAATTTTGACTGTGGTAGTCAATATATAAGCACTACGG